TCAGGTAGGACTGCCCTGTGCTCACTCTGTGGGCGTGGCGTCAGGTAGGACTGCCCCGCTGTCGGCCTCTCTGACGCTCCTGTGAGCATCATTCCTCCTTCTCACTTGTGTCTAGGGTAGTCGAACCTCCGATACCTGTGCCAACATGTTGCACATCATTTATTTTCCTTGCCATACTATCCCATAACATGCAGGAAAAAAAAAAGCCATCTCGGGACACTTGCATCATGTTAGGTATTGGAAGCAGAAATAGGAAAGTAGAACTCAGATCACAGCCAGGTCCACTGATCAGCCGCCACTAAAACTTAACTGAAGGTTCAGTGGTTAAGAGCACTAGCTGCCCTTCCAGAGGACCCGAGATCAAGTCCCAGAACTAACATGACAGTTCACAGCCAGCTGCAACTCCAGTTCCTGAGCAGCCAAAGTCCCTTTCTCGCCTCTGAGGTACCAGGCACACACATGGTACACACACACTCATGCAGACGAAGCACCCATATACAAGAAATAAATATCGAAAATATTTTACTGGGGATGAAGAGATGCACAAGACGCTCACTGAAACTCCCTTGAGATAACATAACCTCTAGAACTGTCCCAAAACCTATGAATTGTAGTCTCATCTATGCACTAAAATAACTATGAGAAAGGGCTGTTTTAGACAAATTTTAATAGAATCCTTTTCTAGAACTTTGGAAAATGCCACCTTCTGAGTAACAGAGTTTTCAGAAACCTGGAGTTCTCTCTCTTTAAATATGAGAATGTAGGAGTTTGTATGTGTGTGGTACTCAGGGTAGAACCCAGGACCTTGTGCACAGTAGCTATCCTGGTTAGGTGTTTTTTTGTTTTGTTTTGTTTTTTGTTTTTGTTTTGTTTTGTTTTTTGGTCAACTTGACACAAGCTAGAGATGCCTGAGAAAAAGGAATCACAACCGAGAAAATGTTTCCATAAGAGTGGCTTGTAGGCAAGCCTACGGAGCATTTTCCTAAGTAGTGATGGCGTGGGAGGGCCCACACATGGTGAGTGGTGCCTCCCCTGGACAGGTGATCCTGGGTTGTATAAGAAGACAGGCTGAGCAAGCCAGGAGGAGCAAGCTGCTAAGCGGCACTTCTGCATTGGTCCCTCCCGTCGCTGCCTTTGAGGATGGACTGCACTTAGGAAGTGTACGATGAAATCAACCCCTTACTCCCTACATTGTTTTTGGTTATTGTTTTATCACAGCAATAGAAACTCTAAGACAATAGACTCTACCACTGTACAATACCCACAGTTCCAAATGTGGACTCTTTATAAAGGACTTATGGGGGCTGGAGAGAGAGCTCAGCAGATAAGAGCACTGGATGCTCACCCAGAGGACCTGGGTTTGATATTCATCATCCACACAGCAGCTCACAACCACCTCTAACTCCAGTTACAGGGATCCAGCACCCTCTTCTGGCCTCTGTCGGGCACCAGGAACATGGGTGATGAGGAGACATGCATGTAAGCCAACACTTACACACACACACACACACACACACACACACACACACACACACACACACGGCTTTAAGTATAATTCTGCCTTCCACATGGTGCACTGAAATTTATTTCCTAGTACTCCATGCCGTCCCTCTGCAGTGTGTGTACTTTATTATATACACTGCAAGGAGTGTGGTAGTTTAGCATTACTGTAAATGACTCCAGCAGGAACATTTTTAATTGCTGTCTCTAATTTCTCTGTAACTTTCTTTGCAATATGGGATTATCCTCCTCTACCAGGAATATGTGCCTTTTGTCATGCTGTGGAGATTGGAACATTAAAAAAATGAATTTATCTGAATACTAAAAGTCAAAAGTGAAGGGCCTGGCCTTAGAGGTACACGGGTGCTGTGTAGAAGCAAAAGGTGTGGGTTTGTGCATAAGTGTTATGGCATCACCGTGTCTTCTTGTGGTGTTCTGACCCCTCCCCTGTCCTCTGTGCCCGAGGTGTGCTGTCACTGCTCTCCTGCCCAGGCACCTGGCGCTGTAGCAGGGAGACTTCGTTCCGTCATACACCACGTGACAAAATTGCTCAGTTTTGGTTTTAAATCAGCTCAGGCTTGATAGCCTTTGAGTTCTTCGGTATACTCTGCATGCCCGAGACTTCTGGTCTGCCTTTCAGACTTGTTCAGCTACCACTGTTTTAGAAGACATCTGTACCCAGAAATTCCCTGTTGCTCTTTATTTTATACCAGAAAATCTGTAAATGGTATCATCTTGCTTCCTCTGTCTTGGTTCTCTGTTGGTCAGCCTGAGTATCCCCATCCTCACACTCTCAGAGTATCCCCATCCTCACACTCTCAGCCTGAGTATCCTCATCCTCACACTCTCAGCCTGAGTATCCCATCCTCACACTCTCAGTCAGAGTATCCCCATCCTCACACTCTCAGTCAGAGTATTCCCATCCTCACACTCTCAGAGTATCCTCATCCTCACACTCTCAGTCAGAGTATCCCCATCCTCACACTCTCAGCCTGAGTATCCTCATCCTCACACTCTCAGCCTGAGTATTCTCATCCTCACACTCTCAGAGTATCCCCATTCCCACACTCTCAGTCAGAGTATCCCCATCCTCACACTCTCAGTTAGAGTATCCCCATCCTCACTCTCAGCCAGAGTATTCTCAACCCTCTTGTTCTCAGCCAGTGTACCCCACATTCTCAGCCTTTGGGGGAGCTGAGGAACCCAAGGTTGTTGTCCTTCCGCAGTGCCCACTGAGCAGCGGAATGGCGTTTACGCATGCAGTTTTAACCCCAAGGCAGTGACTGAGGCTCACTGTCCCTTTGAGAGTACCAGGCACCAGTAATTCCCTTGTTTCTGCCTTCATCCGTCCACACACTGGGAGCAAGGGCAGGTTGCCACCTGCTTCTTACTCATGAGGAGCCAGGGCTTGGCACGCAGCAATGACTTCCTGAGTAAACCAAGGTCATGATTGCAGAGCCCAGGTGGCAGCCGACTGACGACTGTCTGTTCTCAGGGTCTTATCCCCGGCACAAGGCCGTGTAGAAGCAAAAGGCTCCCGGTCTGAGAAGGAAACACAAGTGTCCATGGATTTGCTGCCTCGCTTTTCTAAGAGCCTGAGTACCCTCTGGTCTCTCTCTGTGAACTTCTGTCAAGAGGAGAGAAGTGTGGACGAGCTACAGCCCTTACAAGGGGGGCTTCCCGTCCACAGCAATAAAATGGGCCCTTGATGTCCTATTAATCCAGAACCTTTTTCTTTTTTTTTGTTTTTCTGAGACAGGGTTTCTCTGTGTAGCTTTGCGCCTTTCCTGGGACTCACTTGGTAGTCCAGGCTGGCCTCGAACTCACAGAGATCCGCCTGCCTCTGCCTCCCGAGTGCTGGGATTAAAGGTGTGCGCCACCACCGCCTGGCTTTCCAGAACCTTTTTCTAGAGCAGCAGCTCCCAACTTGTGGGTTCACGACCCCTTTGGGCGTCAAATGACCCTTTCCCGAGGGCTGCATATCAGAGATCCCGCGTATCAGTTAGTTACATTATGATTCATAACAGTAGAAAGCTCAAAGTTGTGCCGTAGCAATGAAAATAATTTTGTGGTTTCGGGTCCCCACCACATGAGGGACTGTATTGAAGGGTTGTGTCGCAGCACCAGGAAGGCTGGGAAGCACTGCTCTGGCGCACGCCCCAAATGTGTCCGTAGATTGTAGATCCAGGCGTCACTAAGGCCGCAGCCTCCCCACAGGCCGCGCGTCCTCACAGGTCAGGCTGATCCCTATTGTATAGATTGAAGACAGAAACTCCCCTGCAGTCTTCGCCAGTGGGTCCCAGGCCTGCCCCAGTCACCTTGATACCCATCACAGTTTAGTTTAACTGGTCGCAGTTCCTGGTGACCAGTTCAAGGGGAAAGCTGCACCCTGGGGCTCGGCCTTGATCTCACCTGAGTCCAAAGCCAGGGCTACGGACCCCTTCCTGACACCCTCCCGCACCCCCAGCTCTGTGGTTAGCGATGGACCAGTCCTGAACGTGCAACTGAGGTTGTCTGACTGCCACGGAGCCACAGCCTGGCTCCGTGGCAGTCAGGACACACTCTCGGGGGACTGGAGTTTCATCGTGGACTGATGATCTCGGGTCTCTCTACTGGTTTGCTTTCCAACAGCATGGCATCTTGGGTCGGGCCAAGCTACGATATTCTAGATGTAGAACACCCTGCCAGGATAAAGGTGCTGTCGCCTGGTGATGGGCAGACGGATGGACAGAGAGAAGGTCGGAGGGGTAGAGAAAATGAAGGATCGTTCAGTTGCGAAGTATGGTGGTAAAAGTGTGTTGAGGGCCCAGAAGCGTTTTCTGCGCCGTGGGTTGGGTGACATGGGGCAAGTTGGTCACCTCCTGGGCCATGGTTTCCTCCTCTAGAAATAAGTGAGGACACACGGCAGGGCCCCGCGGTATGAAACTGTCTTGTGTAAAGTTTGACCCAGTGCCAGGCTTCTGGCAGCCACAGTCACCTTGAAAGGCAATGAGGAGATGGCCCGGTGGAAGTGGAATGCTTGGAGAAATGGCCCAGCCGCCCTTACAGAGGTCACCTTGGGCCAGTCAGGTCATGGTCTGCCTCAGTCTCCTCTGCAGAAAGACAGGGCTAGACCCCGCTGGGCCATGCGTGCTTCCTGCCCCGGGATCCTGCACAGCCACCCTCCACACATATCCGAGTGTGCAACGCGGGAGTTCACGCCCCGCCGTAGCAGGCAGAGAGAGAAGAGCGGCTGCTGGCGTGAGGGCCGGGGTGTGCTGCCACAAGGCAGGTCTTGCCATTAAAACCTCTTTTCACCTCTCACAAAACTCATTTCTGAAACTCTGTCCCCAAAGATGACGTCGTGACGGAAAACACATCCAGGCCCCTACTTCCTGCTGGTGGCGGCATTTAGGCCGAAGTGGCGGGAGGTGGGGACATGGGGGAGGGAGGTGAATCTCGTCCCAATCCAGTGCTCTTGTGGGCTCTCCAGTTCTGAGCATGCTGTGAAGGGTAGGAGAGCTTGCATGTTGTCTGTGGAGACCCGCCTTGTTATCCCTGCCTTAGCATGTTTAGCTGCCAAGCCCAGGTGGCCAGGGGTGCCAGCCTCCTCCATCCATCAGACGACAGCCGGGGGAAGGGGCCGGGCTGCCCAGGCCTCCGGGCCTTTAGTAGAACTCTACATTTGTTTGCATAGAGGAGGGGCCTCCTACCCACTCCCTCCATCTTCCTCAGTTTCTCAGGGTCGGTGCAGTTCACCTGCCAGGGGTCTTCAGCGTTGCCCTTTCCAGCCAGCTCTTCATAAGCCAGAAAGGGGTCTGGGTTCTATCTGAGTAGAGGGGTGTTGAGTCGGACCGGAGAGCCGACGCCGTGCTCGGGGTGGTGTGGGCCCTGCTGCATGTCAGCCCCACATGGCAGGGCACTGGCCCTCACATCTGTAAGAGAGACTTGCTGGCTCCCTCCGAAGCCGGAGCCAAGGGCCTGGTAATTGCTGCTTTGATTGCTTCGGTGGGTGGAGTCCCGTCCCTTGCCAGCGAGCAGCAGCCCCGCCCCACTGCAGACTGGGGCAAGTCTCCCACCTCTGGAGCTTGGTGCCAGTGGTTTCTTCAAAAGAATCTTGACTTGACCCGTTGGATATGTGTAAAACGCCACACTCGGGACCCCATTTCTCCCACGGGGTGTAAGAGTTGGTCTGCCCTGGTGCTTGTGGATTTCAACAGGGTGGCCCCAGGACAGTCAAGGACCCTCCTCGCCCCTTTAAAGGACAGTTCCCCAACAGGGATAATGCAACCTGGGGTGGTAGGATGCCAGCAGGGGACCTCTGAAGACAGCCAACTTGTCGGGGTGGGGGGGTTGTAAGGCAACAGATTGGTGAAATAGAGAGAGCCAAAGCATGAGTAGAGTATGCAGGGGAAAAAAAATGACTGAGGAGACAGGGAGAGTCTGTCCAGGTAAGTTATGTCTTGTCCTTGAAGAAAATGATGCTCTAGGCAGCCATGCTTGTCTTGACTATTGTATTATTACTGAGCCCAACTCAATAAGGGAGGAACGGGGTCTAGGGGAGGGGGGGGGCTTGTAGGCAGGCAGGCAGGAGTAGGGATCTGGCTCTGCTCTAGGACAGGGGTCATTAGCAAGGCCACAGAGGCTGTTTCTATGGCGTGACGTTTTGAGTTCCCTGCACCTGAGCTTGAGGACAGAGCGACAGGTTGTCTCCCACAGTAGAAGACATTCCCAGCTCCCTCTGGCCAGCAGCCTGGCCTAGGCCAGCAGCCTAGGACTTCAGGGCCTTATGTTCTTTAGAAAGAATAAGTTTCCTGTCACAGACTGAGAGGAAAGCTGCCCAGGAAGAATAGCTTGGACCAAGCCTTGGAGCATCCTTCATGCGGAAGGAAGCACAGGGTAAACGGAGGACCTGCAGGGTCCGTGCCCGCCCAGACTTCAGTCCTCTTCCTCTCTCATTGGCAAGGCAAGGCCTTTCGTAGCTCTTTGATCCCCCTGTGTAAAGGTTTGCAACCAAACAGGGTATTCTTCTGCTCAACAGGACAGGTTAGCTTCTCAGAGCAGGAATCCAAAATCTTCTCTGGAGATTTCACAGTTCAAGTGTTACGCTGCTTTCTTACCATTTCCTTGGTTTGTTTTACTTCTCAGTAGCTACTCGGGGATACAGTCGGGTCACAGTTTGGATCAGGTGTCTGTGGGGACAGCTTGCCCTCCCCCACGCACCGCCTCGCCCTCCTCCATGCACAGAAGACTGCTCCCCAACCCGCCCGCCTCAGCACAGCTTGTGGCAGGTGCCCTCTCCTGCTCCCGAACCCCGTACTCCTGTGGAAAGCACTTGGCCACCCAGGTCACTTTTCAGACGGCCACAGCTTTCTTTCTGTCACCTGATGGCTCTGATTCCTTTCCTCTTCAGTGGAAGTGTGAGGGAGCCCACCACGTAGAATTCATCTTTGGGGGAACGCTCTCCTTGTAAGGGGGATATACCAACCAGAAGCTCAGAGGGCTGGGTTTGTCTGAGGCTGTCACAGGCTCCAGATGGGACACGGAACTCTGCCCCTCCGCCTCAAGTTCAAAGCGATGGAGACTGGTGCTCTCCCGGGTGAAGGACGGCACCACCATGGAGCCCTTGCTTGCCCCTGTCTCCTCTTGTTACAGTGTTCCATTTTAACCTTTAATCACTGTGAAATCTCAAGTCATTAAAACTCTGGGGACCAGGGGTTCTTTGTTTTGAAAAACAGTTATTTTAAATCACTTGCAGAGTGTTCGTTGTGGGCTAACGTTAAATGCCTTCCTTGCTGTGGAGGCGACTACCTTAAAATCTTGAGTGGAAGTGGGGCCACTTCCACCCCTTGGAGTGTAAGCGTGGATGGCACCTGCTGGGTGCGTTGGGCTGGTCCTGTGGGAGTTAGCAGCATGCTGGCGGTTTGGAATGTTCTAGTCCTGTGTAGGACCCTGCAGTGGCTCCCTGCTGTGAACTAAAACCAGCTAATACTTCAGCATGACAGGCCCTCCCCTGGTCTGGCTCTTGCTCACCTCTCCAACTCACGTCTAGATCATTCCTCCTTCTGATGTTTTTCTCAGACATGGCTTTGCTTGTCAGTTTGTTTAACCAAGACCCAACTCTTTCAAAACACATCATGTCATGACTCTGCAGCTCCATATACAGAGAGCCAAGTCAAAACTCAGCTTTCTGTACCTACCCTGGGATGTATTTGAGGGTCGTTTGGCTAGTATCCAGCAATCCATTTTGGCCCACGTGAACTTGAGAAAATGGATCCTTTAAATGCACAGGCCAGACATGGCCGCCTGTAACAGCAGGTACAGTCTTTAAAGGCCCGTGGCAAGTTCATATTAATAGCGTTTCGTTTGTTCCTTCTTGAGGTGGCAAAAGAAACTCATTCCCAACGTGCAAAGCCAAGGCGGCGACCCCAGGCCCTCTTCTGGAGATGGAAGCTTGTTGAAAACCCACACTGTCTCCACAGCTTGCCCGGCTGACCCCAAGGAGCACTGACAGCATCTCTCCCCTGAGGTCACCGCTAGAGACGCTGCTGACCCACAGAGACAGTCACTGCCAGCCCCTCCCCCGTCTCCTGCAAGCGCCGACTTCCAAAAGCAAGCAAGCCGGAAACGGTCGTTTCTGAAAAAGAAAAAAGAAAAAAAAAAAAAGCCCATGAGAACGCTAGCAGGCCCTGCCCACTGAGCGGTGGCATCGTCGCTTCTGGTCTCTGTGTGCACCTCTCCTCTGTGCAGACCTGTCACCCTGCAGCAAGGACAGTAGCTTGGCCGTGTTCGTGCGCAACTGAGTCAGGGACCGGAGCAGGCATCAGCATCCTGGCGTGAGAATTGTGGAAGACTCCCGTTTCCGTCTTCATTTGCCTATCATCTTCAAGTTTTTATTTAACAGTACAAAAGGATCAAGCTTGTGTTTGCTTCTTTTTTTTTTTTAACTCGAATTTTTAAATTTACTTTTTTTTTTAATTTTTATTTTCCTTGTATATTTTGCTAGCTCTGAGCTTTTACATGAAATTCATGGGTCTGGAAGAGTCTGGAATAAAAACAAGATGAAAAAAGAAGCCTTCTGCTCTTCCGAGCTGTCTTGTCCAGTGAGTGGCTTCTCTGTGACACACGGTGGCCTCTGTCCTGTGAAGTCTCTGATAGAGCTGAACAGTTAGCCAAGCCCACTCCGGTTGTTAGTGATTGGCAGCCCCAACTCACTTAATTTTCTGATTTTTTTTTTATGATGACAAACTTTAACACATACTTTGAGCAAACCCCTTTGCAGTGGATTTTCTTTCCTTTCTTTTCACTCTTGTAAAAAGCCCAGCACTTGAATGGTTATTACTTTCAATGTTCTGTATTTGTATCTGTTTTTATTAGCCAATTAGCGGGGATTTATGCCAGTTGTTAAAATGAGCGTTGATGTATCTGTTACTTTGAAATGGCAAGGCACAGCCTTTGCCTCCCAATTGTCATCTTAACGTCTGTCTCTCCAGTTTGAGTTAACGTGCTGAGCATTTTTTAAAAGAAGCTTTGTAATAAAACATTTTTTTAAAAGTGTCCTTTTATTAAGAATAAAGTTGCTGATGATTGAGAGTTGGCGATGAACTGAAGCCCGCGGGGGGGCACAGGACAACCCCTGCCTCCCGTGCCTGAAGACCCCGGAGTCTCATCTCTTTGCCAGGCACGGACAGGAAACAGGGTCAGAAAGGGGGTCGCCAGAGCCATGTGGCGGTGGGACTCTCCTTGCTCACCACAGGCCCCACAGGCCCCCAGCCTTGGTGGAGTGAGGCTCAGAGCCAGTGAGTGCTGTCAGAGCTCACTGGATTTCAACTTGAGCTCCCCAAATCCTGGAGCCCATGAGGAGAAGGTCAGCAGCAGCACCATCCATCCCCGCAGAGTCCAAATGTTCTCAGTGTTTAGTGATTGCCCAGCGTTTCCCCATCAGCCCTTGCTCCACTATTCCACATTGCTACCTGACTTAGCAGAAACTCCAGACATTAAAATGTCGCCCTTCATGCCCCTTCCACCTTTTGAGTTTGCCTGAGATCCCCTGGTTATCACTGGCGAACTGACATCCCTCCCTGAAATTCTGGTTCTTTCCTTTTCAGCCGTGGGTACAGCTGGGGAACAGCTGGCTCCCATGCTTGTAATAACCCTCCACGTACTGCACTTGAAGATCACCATTAAATCACCCCTCCGATTTCTCTTCTCCGGGCTAAGTAATCCCGAGTCCTCGAGGCTTTCATCATCAGCCCTTTAATCATTTTCATTACTATCCTCTGGAACCCTTCCAATTTCTCTTCATTTAATCCTAAACTTGAACCAGGAAAAAAAGTATTATGTTCCGGGGTCCTACTTGTTAGAGAGGTTTCATATTCGGCCCTTCATTCCGGGATCATCTCCTTAGCATACACGAGTCCAGGCGCTCCCTGGGACACTGCCACCATGATACTTGGGGAGTGAGCTAGAAAAGAGAACTAGACTCCTGTGCGGGACGAGGATGGAATCTCATTCCTGACTGGGAAGTGACATCAAGGACACAGCAGAGCAAGGCTCGGTCCCAGCCATTCTGCCAAACTGCTTTCTGGAGGCATTTGCACTAGGGAGGGAGAACCAGGGATTCCCCTGCTCTGAGAGAGAGAGAGATCAAAAAGGGTGCCTATGGCTCAGAGACCCTTCTGATCCCTCCTGTTTGTTCAGAAAGTGATGGGGCTCCCTGACCGGCAACTAGCACAGAGCTCAGCCTTTCTGGGAGCCTCGCCTCGCCTGAGGTCACAGTTGACACACTTAGCCTTCCAAAGGGGCGTTTCCTTACTGTTTTGGTTGGTTTGGTTGTCAGGGCTACTGGCAATACCTACCTGTCCAGTTGGGAGGGGTCTTCCAACTGATTCATTTTCTCCTGTGGTCGGTCTAAGGCTGCAACAATGTGGAAGCTAATGCTGAGCAGCAGTAACAAGACATCTGTGACTTTCCTTAGGAGAAAGAATAAGATGACGGATAATCCCAACAGGAGGGGGAAACCTGAATTTCACCACACATAACAATGCTGTAACATGCATCCCACGCCATTTCTACCACAGGAAGAGACTTTGTACAAAAGAGCAAATATGAAATTAGTGAGTGATAGTTAAACATGAGACCTCCAGTGGACACCACCCTTCCAGATGCCAGGGAGTTGTAAAAGCTCCATGCAACCTCCCACGTGTGAACAGGAACTGCTTTCAGGGAGGAACTGTGCATAGCTGGATTTCTTAGTGCCACTAGAAAAACGGCGTTCTAAATTTCTGCAGTGATGATCACGATGTCGTTGGTTTTCCTGGGTATCATTCGAGAAGCTGCTGTTTTAACTCATGCTCATGTTTAATGGAAAAACTTCATCCTCCTCAGAGAGAATGGAGGAAAAGAGGGTATAGCCATGTGTACAGTGATATAAAACAATAATACAGAACTTTATAAGCTCAAGAGCCCAAGTGAAAAAGAGGCTACTTACTTTTCTCTACTGAGGAAACAACGATGCTCCGTATTCATTGTCAAGTGCTGTGGGTCACAGTGAAGGTGTATCAATTAGTCAGCCAGGCACGTTGACTCACACCTGCACATCTCAGCACTCGGGCCAGAGCACAGAGTGGTAGCTGACCCCCCAGTAGCTACGAAACAGGTCATGGATGGACTTCCCCTTGAATTATAATTCATTAAAAAATGTTTTGGTACATTGTTAAAAAAAAAAAAAAGGCTGTCTGTATAGCCTGTGGTGTGCATAAAACACTGGTGAGCAGTCATGTTCAGGGAAGTGGAGACTGTTTTGAACTCAAGATCAGTAAAGAATTTAGATGGTGGAGGAGGGGGGCGGGCGGAGTTGGTATATTTTCACCCACACTGGTGTGTGTGTGTGTTCATTAAATCTCAACATCTTCTGTCTCTCAATTAAAAGTTTATTTTGCATGTGTGAGCATGGGTGTGTGTGTGCCACTAGACTGTGGGGAGGCCAGAGGACAACTTGTAAAAGCTTTCGCCTGCCATTGTGTGGATCCTGGGGATTGAAGGGTCACCAGGTTCAGCAGCCTTTACCCACTCAGCCATCTTGTGGGGCCTCGCAGATTTTTTTTTAGGCAGGATCTTACTCTGTACCCCCAAGCTGGCCTCAAACTCACGATCCTCCTGCCTTCACCTTCCCAATTACAGATGAAATATTTTTGCTGAGTCTAGCTTGAAATGTTAATAGCTAAATTAATTTATCTCCATATTAGATGTGTGGGAGAGATTGACAGAAAACACATGGTCCAGATGGAGATAGGAACGGTACATATGAATGACAGATGTGGCCACGTGTCCTCTTGGGCGTCTCTTGGCAGTCACAGCAGAATTAGTGCAGTAGACATATTTTCTACTTTGTCACAGAATCTGAAGTCAGTGGCATTGCTGATCTATATTTTATGCTATGATGTTTTCCCCATGAAAAAGGTATAGAAGGCAACTGAAATAAAGCCCCACAAATGGGCCCAGTTACTGCTGTCACGGGCCTTTAAGGGTTTTATTATTATTATTTTATGAGTTTTTGAAACTGTGAGTGTAAGTGTTTTGCCTGCATATATGTATGTGTGCACCATGTGTGTGCCTGGTGCCCTCAAAAGTCAGAACGGGATCAGAACTCCTGGAACTGGAGTTACAGATGGCTGTGAGCCACTGTGTCGGTGCCGGGAACCAACACTCTTAACCACTGCGCCTTCTCTCCAGCACTATGGCTTTCCCTTCAAGTTTTCTCTGTTTAAAAAGACTTCTGTCTTAGTGAGGGTTTCCATTGCTGGGAAGAGACGCCATGACCACGGCAACTCTTATAAAGGAAAACATTTATTTCATTGAGGGGGCAGCTTGCAGTTTCAGAGGTTCAGTCCATTACCACCATGGTGGGACATGGCAGCGTGTAGGCAGACATGGTGCTGAGAGGTAGATGACATTCTATGTCTTGCAGGCAACAGGAAGTGGTCTGAGACACTGGACATGGCTTGAGCATATATGAGACCTTAAAGCCCACCTCCGCAGTGACGCACTTCCTCCAACAAGACCACACCTCTTAACAGTGCCACTCCATCTGGGGGCCGTTTTCTTTCAGACCACCACAGGTTCCCAGGTCTTGCCCAACTTGTATACCTCACAAGACAAGGTCTGTGTGGAGTTCATTTGGGGAGCTTAACAAGGTCCAGGGATAACTTGCGGATGAACTTGTTTTTCTTGACACTTGCTGGCTGGCATCTGGCACACATGAGCTACACCTGCGGCTTTCCTCGGGTTCCAGTTAGCTGGGGCTGTCTGTCCCTCAGTTTCCAGCCTAGAGAATTGACACTTATTAGATGGCCCTTGCAAAAGCCACTTGGCTCTTACTCTCCATGAGGCACTTGGCAGCTGCAACTATATTTAAAGATTTTTTTTTTAATTAATCATGAGTATGTGTGGATTTGTACCTCTGCATGACCAGCGGAGGCTTGCAGATAGCAACCCCTGGAGCCTGAGTTACGGGCAGTCGTGAGTAGCCTGGCATGGGTGCTGGGAACCAACCTGGGTCCTTTGCACGAGAGTACATGCTCTTAAACCACTGAGCCATCTCTCCAGCCCCTCACTTTTAACCTCAAACAGAATTTCTCACAATGACTCTTTTAATTCATATTCTCATATTCTCTCTCTGTCTCTTTCTCTCCTTCTCCCTCCCTTTCATAGAATAGCATCTCAGATTGGATGATGAGATCTTGAGCCAGTAGAGGTGTGGGATGTCAGGTACTGTGTGGTACACAGAGTCTCAGGAGAGGAGGACTCCACTAATTGCAGATCCCATCTGTGAGCAGTGTTGCCCCCTCTGACCTCCACATCTGGATCCCTTTGATTTTAATGCAGGGGTGCCAAGCATTGCTCTTCCAGCAAAACCATCTCCAGCACAACTGTACCCACCCAAGATGTTGCAGAATATTATTTTAATGTGTGTTACTTTTGATTATGCTGCATTTGTTTAACTCTGTGAAGCTGTGTTACTGTGCCTGTATAAAACACCTGATGGTCTAATAAAGAACTGGCCAATAGCAAGGCAGGAGAAAGGATAGGCAGGGCTGGCAGGCAGAGAGGATATATAGAAGGAGAAATCTGGGAAGAGGGAGGGGAGAACTAGGAGCCAGAGAAGGAGGAGGACACCAGGGGCCAGCCACCTAGTTATACAGCAAGCCACGGAGTAAGAGTAAGATTTACAGAAGTAAGAGAACAGGAAAAGCCCAGAGGAAACAGGTAGACAAGATCATTTAAGTTAAGGAAAGCTGGCAAGAAATTAAGTCGAGCTAAGGCCAGACAATCATAATTAAATATAAGCCTCTTGTATGATTTATTTGGGAGCTGGGTGGCGGGCCCCCCTGCCCCCAAAAAAGAGTAAAAAACAACCAAGAGTTAAGAAAGGGCACACAAGCCAGGGTTGCTGGTTCTCAGCAGTCCCAGCAACTCAAGAGGCAAAGGCAGGAAGACCACCGAAGTTCAAGGCTGTCCTCATCTACACAGTAGGATCGAGGCCAGCCAGGCTACAC